CTGCATAGCCTGATGGTTTTAACTTGTAAGTTTATTGTATCAGTCTGTGAGATTGAAATTGCTGGGTTAATTGTAAAAAAAAATGTGGTGAGTAATCGAAGCTGTCTGTCCAATTGGGGTCACACGAACCCATTGAAGCCCCTTCCGTGCCCTCCCCCTAACAGTTTCCATGGTCAATACTACTGGCATTGCATTGAAAATGTGATGGACAACTTGAAATTCATGGAAATTACTCTATTCACGTCATCAATATCCCTGGTATGGTACAATAATATGTGCATAACAAACTGTATTTTATGGATTGAAAGCATAGCCGCCATTGCCTTTCTCGCTCAATAACAGTTGCGGTGTGGCGATTCCCCAGGCTCAGGTGGCGTGGCATCCCCTCACGTGCCCAGACATTCGCCGAACACGTTCGCGAACGCGTTCGGCGGGCGAACCTCCCAGTCGCCTGGACGTTCTCTCAGACTGTAGCTGACGGCTCTTATGCTCCTATAGTGACAGAGAATTCTTGTTCGAAGATATTATCGAGAGGTACGGCAGTTTCCAAGTTCATTCAAATAAGACATATGTCTCCTGTAGGTCTGGTGACTTGGAAACATGGATGAGATCCCGCCTTTAAACGCATCGAGGACCCACCCAATCGACTACCTTCCTAATGCACCGTCTTATGCGTCGTTCTTGCAAGAATATTTGCTGCAACTCAAGCCATGCTTGATGTCTATGCCAGAGATATCACTCTGGAAAGCCTCTCGACTGTGGGTCAGACGCTCTGAATCGGGAGCGATGAAGCCAGACATTGATGTGCTCGAAGAGGCTTTCAAAGACGCATCAGTGGATGTCGCATACTGCGGTGAAACCGATGAATGCGGGGCTCAGCGACGCGAACGCATGTCATTTTCTGAATTCGCGACTCTTTGGCGCAACAGTCCCGATGGTAAACTGTACCTGAAAGATTTTCACTTCTGCATCGCTGGACAATCTGGAGCTTATCGGACTCCGGACGTCTTCGCAGACGACTGGCTAAATAGCTACGCGATAGCTGCCTCGAAAGGCGAGGACGATTTCCGCTTTGTTTATCTGGGTCAACATGGTACCAACACCAACTTCCACCGCGACGTGTACGGGAGTCATTCCTGGAGTTGTTCGCTTGCTGGTGTCAAACGATGGAGATTTTTGGCTCCGGAGTACACCCACCTCGTTCGCGACGACAAGTCTGGAGATATGCCCACTGGAATTTTCTCCGCTGAGGCCGAATCCCGATTTCCTGACATTGGAGAGGCGAGAAAAAGAATAATAACTGTCTGGCAGTATCCAGGTGAGGCTGTTTTCGTCCCTTCAGGATGGCTTCACGAGGTCCGTACCAACTGTCCTTATTGGCGGCTGTCTTTATTCATACCTTTATCCAGGTTCAGAACTTTGGGTATGCGTTTGGACAGCTTATCGAACTTTTGCTACATATGCTCACATCCTCTGCACTAGTGAGACGCTGTCGATCAATCATAACTGGGCCAACGCAACCTGTCTCCTCCGCATGAGCTTGTCCTTGGAAGAGGAAGTTCGCCTGGGGCAGCAGGCCTTGGAAGGCTTCGAGTTAGGATCACCGCAAGAACTGGCCGTTCTGGTCCAAGATTTGACAACACGGAACTTTGGCTGGGGATGGAAAGACTTCTTCGAGATGATCAGATGGCGATACGTAGGATGCCAAGAGCATCCTCCACTGTCTACCCAAAGAAAGCTAGGAGTTGCTTGGGATGAAGCTGCCGATTATCTTCGCCCCCCTCCAGACGTGGAGAGGCAACTCGTTACGCAGGTCATGGAGGAATGGCTGCGTAACGACGAGAACAGGTACCTAATCGAAGTTAAGGCCGTCGCAGAGGAGATCCTGAAACATGTACAACATTAAACCCAGTCATTCCTCGACTATCATTTGCACAACAACTATCCCCGCTCACGATAAACTCGCCGTAGCACGTCGTTACCGGACGATGACGTTTCAGGCAGCTTTACGGTATGGCTGACGGTTTTCTCTCGGAGACTATTCTCGTTGCCGTATGACTTCCACAACCAAAGACTATCCCCACTGGCGGGAGGATCAACACCCACAAGACTGTCAGTGCCACTTATTCCTTCATCACCCGAAATGTCTACTAGGACAAGTGGTGATTGTACAGAAGCGACATCCCCTTCCTTCTTCCCAGGCTAGCGCCGCCTAGACTGACACTAGGGCACATACCGGAAAGACGGGGCCTGCGAGAACGCGGAAATTAATGGCGCATACTAAGCATCAATTTGAAGCATAAAACCTTGTCGGCCAGCTCGGTGGTATCGACCTTCGTGTCCTGCGTCGTCATACCGTACAAGCGATCCCTATGGCGGTTGTCCAGCTTATACGATATCTGTCACGGTCGTCAATTCTCATATCAAAAATGCTACCAGCGAATTTCAGTACATACGTGCAGAACGATGCAGATTATTGCTGCCAGCCATTCTAACGCGCATGTCACTACCAATCGGGCATCAGGTCGAACTTCCTCGATGCAAGATTCATTACCGGGCATACTCACCTGCGAATCCTTTTCTAGGGAACACAAGGAACCGTTAGTTACAAAGAGATAGGATACTCCCTTCATCCTCTCACATATATCGGGGACCTTCGGTGGACGGGTATATATGAGACCCCAGTACGCTCCCGCACTGCCCGATGGCCATGAACATCGGGATACCCGTCGCCTTCTTCGTCTCAGAACCCAGATTGTGCGCGACTAGGTAAGGGAATGGCGAAATCAGCGAAATCAAAGGTGCGGCAGGTTCAGGCCCGACGTACACCATGCGATGATGATCCCGATGGTCGTGTAGGTCCCACTGGTGATGCAGAAGCAGGCAAAGTACCGGACGTGGACATTTTCTGGGACGCTCAACAGAAGGCTGGGCGGAACGCTTAGCTCCCCAATCCGGTGGACGAACTCTCCTGGCACCTACATGTATCCTATACCTCCAATACTGCAAGCAGCCGCCATGAAGAGCCCTCTGCTTTGTAGTCTATCCGAAGTGTACGACATCATTGCAAGGAATACTGCAGCCACCGCGTACGGCGGAACCGTCAACAGTTGTGCTAGTGCATTCGCTAGGCATCACGGTTAGTCGGAGGAACGAATGCCCAAGCTCATGCAGGGTCGCACGTACTGTACCCAAATGTTTTGATGATGGTAGGCAGGAAGGCAGATATGGCAGCTAGAGCACAGTTCAGGCCAAAGTAAATGACCCCTCCAAGATAGATCTGAGCAAGCGCATTCATCAACAAGTTATTATGGAAAATAGGGACATCAAGCAGACCCTCCAGTCACGCAGGGCCATGTAGATGTGGTCTGTGGAGTCACCCGTCAGATCCATCCCGAAATGTAGATTATGTGCGGAGCACCACACCCTTGCTTATGGTCAATCCGACATCGCCGGTGGCATCCCTGTTCATCCTCTCCACCGCCAGTCGTCGCTCCTCCGGCGAAAACACCGTCGTCATCTCAGGCCGGTCCGGGAGGAAGAACAAGGCGCCTACGCCGAGCAGCACGGACGGTATACCCTGATGCAAGGGATGTCAGTTGGTGGCGCAGGTAGGTGTTTCCGTTGATCAAACCTCGACAATGAAAAGGAGCCGCCAGTTGGTGATGGCTGCATGGGCGTGTTGTATGCCGAATGCGATGAGACCCCCAAACGCGCCTGCGACAGCTGCGAAGCCGAACCAGTATGCCATACGGAGACCCATTTCTTCTTTCGTGTAGAATAAGGCTGCGTTCGTTCCATTGCGTCAGAGATTCACAACGAGAGTTGGAGAACGCGACCAACAGAAGTAAAGTGGGATACCCGGACCGAATCCCGCTTCGAAGAACCCCATTCCGACGCGAGCGACGATGAGACCGGCTGGGTTGAAACTGGTCGCCTTCGCAAGAGTGAGTCTCAGCTGCTCAGGCAGTCCAAATGTAGCACACCATAAGCGTCGAGCATATCCCCCACCCGACAGCTGTACATGCTAACCATATACGAGGAGAGAATAGTTTCGAGATGACGGTGGCTGGGATCTGACATATAATCTGATGAACAAAGTGTGAAGTTGCGGTCTATCGTTCAGCGGTGGTAATGACGTACGTATGAGAAGAAGAAGGCAGAGTTGACCCAGTCGAAGAGCTGTCCAGTGGGATCCCCATGCAGCGTATCCTGCGGCAAGCCCTGCAGACGCGCGTTCCCTAGATTCGTTCGATCCAAGTCTTGCAGCATATTCAGTCTCAGGCTGCAAAATCGACCACGCCTAGCCCGCACTTACAAGCAAATAGGTACATGAGGCACGCGAACGGTAGGATTCTGGCGTCGAGCTTGCGGATGAGCCGGCGCTCCTCTGGGGACATCCCATGCACGGTATCCCCGCGGGCGGCACTATCCTTCGCCTCTGCAACAGTCTCGATATCCAGCACCCCACCCGACTTCTCTTTTCCGACCGTGACCTCGTCGAGCTTTTCGCAGCCTGCCAAGGAAGCCATCGGGATGGACGAGCGAAAGCGCGGAACAAACCACCGTTTGAAACGGGTTTTCGGAACTAGTTCGAGCAGTCGATATTTTTACACGGCCCTCCCTAATGAACGACATCCCGAGCCAGTCCCCCACGCTCCCTCTGGAGCATAGAATGCAGTGGCGTCGTCCTGGTGTGACGCGGAAAGGGAACGCAAGAGCCGTTTGGTTGCAAGCGAGCTGTCAGGTGAGTAGAATGCGGGGTAAAGGGTCCGATTCTTGACAGATGGCTAAACTGATGCATTGTTGCAAAGCTGAATCTTCCAGTATACTGGATATTACTGATCCTGTAGCGGCCGGTCTGACAACTATACGAGGCGTAGTTCAGAGAGATTTGCAGAGCATAAAATATTATGTCAAGTATCTGTACAAGCCTCAAGTTGAGGGTAAACGCAGGCTCCTAAACCACCGTCCTTAGCGTTCTCCTCCTTTACTAGGGCGCACGTGCAATGTTATGTAATACAAATCTATTTTTGATTTATTACCGGATACAGAACGAACAGAGGAGGAGAACGCTATAGGACGGCTGGAAGAAATCGTCTCCCCGAGATCACCGAGTATGACTAAGCATTCCAAGCGGTAGCGGCTGAGGCCTTCCACCAGCAGTCGGTGGAGTGTAGTACAAGCATTGGGGCGCATAGCAATGAAATTTGGAGCACCTTCCATTTGAATATGATGCAACAATGGTCTGACATAAATGAAAGCAAATACAAGCATTGACAGTGTCACTGAGGGCTGAACATTAGGTTCAGAAGCTATAATAAATTCCTCTGAGGGATGGTAGCTCACGGAGGGTGTTGATACTGGGGGAGTACCAGTAAGATACCTTTTTATGCCTTTCTATATATTTTTTGTATTTGCTGGTTTCGAGGTGCTCCTTGCATTGCCCGCCGACTGCTGGCGGAAGGCCTCAGCCGCTACCGCTTTTGGAATGCTTAGTCATACTCGGTGATCTCGGGGAGACGATTTCTTCCAGCCGTCCTATAGCGTTCTCCTCCTCTTGTTCGTTCTGTATCCGGTAATTCTCATATAATACATTTTCTTACATAATATTTCACTTCTGCCCTAGTAATTAGAGGAGCGCGAACGCTAAGGACGGGTGGTTTAGGAGCCTGGAGCCTGGGGTAAACGAAGCTTCCTCAGGACTCGTACTATCATTGGGGGGGTTCTGTAAAAACTTGACAATATGACCGGCCAAGGGCTACCTTCTTCATCATTCCCTGTTATTTCACTCAGGCATCATAGTATACCTTCCTAAGTACCATCTGCAAAAAGAATGATCTCGATTCACTATGTACAGAGTAATACAGAGAGATGCCGCACACAGACGGCACTTGCGGGGAGTAATGTAAAAACGTCACGCGCGGGTAACACTATCCGATCCGCGCGCGTCTGTCACGCATCTGTCACGCCCTTGGGCCCTTGGAGTTCTGTAAAATCTACCATACGAGCACTTCACAAGCCTGCAGCTATTATCGGGTGGGCGCAGGAGGTTTAAACATACAAGAAACACCTCCTTTAGGCAAGCCGATATATGCCGGGGCCGTGTAGGCTGGCAGATCTACCCATCAAGTGGCCATCAGACCTGTTACAGTGGGCATTTTGGACGGTGTTCAACCTCCCATACGACAAGGGGCCAACTTGAGGCAATTCTGACTTCACAGACCATCTGTATGGTATACAATGCATATACGTACCAACCCGCTAAGCTCCCTGTAGCATACTTCTCGAGATTTCGGAGTTCTGTAAAAAATCTAACTTTTACAGAACCCCCCCAATGATAGTAACAAGTCAATGACGCATTCGGAGCTGTGACCAGGCCACGTGAGGTACTGTAGTCACACACCATTTATAGACTAAGAAAGTGTATTCGAATGGATACACGGAGCAGTATCAACTACTCACGTCTGCTCGGACGACGGACATACTTGCCATCAGTGCAGTATTGTCTGAACGACTGATGGCAATATTGTCTGAATGACAACACACGGAATTGTATAAGGGATTGACTATATCGGAGATAATCTCAGCATTGCATAACATGGACGACAGGAATGAAGGCGCATCCGGGGTCTTGGTCCAGCCGTCAGCGCGATGGACCTGGTCTAGACTCGCGACCAGTCCTGTACGCAATGCACACGCCTTCCTTTTTTGGTTTCGGAGTGATGGAAGGCGTGAGCTTGCGAACGGACTGGTGACAACGGACAGTCACATAGCGGGGTCACAACTTTCCCCGCCAAGCGTGACTCCGACTTAAAAAAATTTGCCCCCTCAGATGTACAAAATCGTCTCTGGCACACATTGTTCAATGATGTTTTTGAAGTGAATGGAGTTGACTGGAATAGGTGAGAAAAGAGGATTTTCTCCTTGAGTCAGTCCAAATTCATCGAAATTTGACCTATGTCAAATGAATCTATGGCCTTCAAAACCTACAATGGTGTAAATCTCCCAAGGCATGATTTTTCTGAGTTATGAGGCTCTCAAATCACGAAGTCCCACTCATAGTTGGCGCGTGTCACGCGCATCCCGCCAAAAGGGCGACCGTAGTTCCCAGCCGCTTCGCAGTGTAGCGAGTATTACGAGCGGAGCTTGAATTGCGAAGTGGCTGGTATCGAGCCTAGACCTGGTCACTCGGGAAGCTCCGTCTGGCGCCGGCATCTTACCCCTCCTTTGGGGGATGGGATGAATTAATTATCACATAGGTGCTTTGCACAAATGCAGCCAGAGTTTGGCTGGCCAGCTCAACACTTATTGCCATCCTGTGCAGTCCGGGAGATGTCCCGTCTCCCGGACTGCGCAGGATGCATGTCCCAATGGATATAATTCAAAGTAATTATTTCGTATCTTTGACGTATACAAGAGATATTTAGCTCCTCCTTGATTTCGTGTGCAAAATTCACAGCCTGTAGCTGCTGTGGAGTGCAGTTCACAGCATGTAGCTGCTACGGTGAATTGAGATGGAATTTAGTACTGATTGTTTACTTCGATATGTAAGTGAAATGCAAAGTATAGTCTATGCATGGACTGGAGTCTAGCTGCGCGAGATAATTCTAAGTCCGCGCGGTGTAGCCGTGTGCCACTGGAGCCAAACATGACACGCCAGAACTTGCCAGTCAGTCGAAAAGTGCGACGTATTGCGGGTTTGGCATAACCCCTCTCAAAGGAGGGGCACTTGCTGAAAACCAGCTGGTCACTCCCTGTTGCCATACTATCTGCCTGCCCGTTTGCTCTACAACATATACCATAAGTAGTTAAACAAGCTGCATTAATAAGACAACTTAATCTTGCAGTCACTTCAGCTTGGCAGCACCTAGTGATCATGTACAAGTCAAAACACTATCTCAGGCTGATACCGGAGGACAACAGTCACCTGCAGTTCATGGATGTGTATCACGGGATGCACCATTATGCTCGTCACAAACTCTTAATACAGTGAAATGGACAATATAGTACACCACCGGGCCCATAGTGGGACCCAACTGCTTGGCCCGCATTCCAATTCCATCATCTCAATGTAATTGTCTGTGGAAGGTCTTGCCTGAAAAGGTGTGTTGTTGTGAGGGGCACAATTCAAGGGGTCCATCACAGCCATCAGGATACTCGGTCCCATTTGCAAGGCACAGAGGTCAATGCTCCTACAGTCGAGTCCCTCTTAACCCATAGTGGTCGGTGGAAGCCGAAAGCTACAGTCACTGTGTTTGTTGCAAATTAGCTCGACGCATAGATAGCTAGGATAACTGAGGTATCTTAGCTATCCCTCGAGCTTTCCGAACGTTAGATGACCAGCAGGTGCTGGTGGAAATAGCCGTACCTGCGCGCGTCTAGTTGCGTGTAAGATAGCCGATGCGACTGACATATCCCAACTTATCTTCCATGTCGCTAAGTTAAGTACCTACGTCCTTCATCCTTCACCTGTCAGCTTAGTTATCTCTAGCGATACTGACTAGGACAGCGACGCTATCTTGTTTCAAGCCACAGCATATTCGGCTTTAACCAAGGTGCAGCAATCCGCGCTATCACTCCCCTTTCGTGCTCACGAATTATGCTCAAGTCCAACGTCTTCCGTTCACCTCGCATCGTACCTCCTCGACACAAACCGACGCGCCCTCCAAAGCCTGACCCTGGTGTAGGCGACTTGTGGTTGCGAACGGCTGACTTATCACCAGCAAACGCGTTGCTCTTTCAGCACGGAGACTTCGCTAGCGAACTCGCTTTTTGCGAGATGTTTATGCTGCGTATACCAGTGAGTACCACACTTGTTCTGCTGCTATAGCACCGCTAAGTCTACTTAGGATCCGGACCCGAGCAAATTCTTCGCTGAGCTCGATACCTACTGCCTCTATGCAGCCATCTCCGTGCCCGTCGACTCTGGCGTTCCGTCAAGACACCGTGCGAGCCCCGTAGCCATTGTGGAGAAATGGGTAGGCTGCAGGGAAGTTCAAGACAGCCCCGGCTGGACACACTGGGTGCCCGGTAAAGCGCAGCGGTTTATAGAATCGCGCTCGGACGCGTGCGAGATATTTGCTATGCTAGCCAGGAAATGAGACCGCTGCCTGCGGATGGCTAAAGTCAGGGTGGGGCGCGTCTGCCTCTCCTAACGTGGATGCCATTGCGCGCGAGGGGTACGACGGAGGTGAGCTCGTCATTACGGTTGCACTGTCGCAGTATTTGAGCAGCCTGCAGCGGTAAAAAAAATTCTGGTGAGTGATCATCGTACCTGTAGTTCAAGATCTGGATTGACAGGTGTCCTCAGCCTTTGATTTTTGCGACGACAGCAGGCCTCATCGTAAATC